ATGACCAAAAATGACCTTGAGGAAATCATATAACCCAAGCAGCTTCCTACCTAAGACCTGAAGAACAAACAGGGTTATTAAGATGAGACATTCTTCTAACAACGGACACTCTGGGAAGAAGACCCATTAGTTATAATAATGGCGTCCATTAACTGAGTTCCAATTTTGCTAGGCATCTTATATGCACCATCTTACCCTCTCTACGACCACATAAAATAGGCATGATTATTCCTATTGTGGAATGAGTAAACTAAGACTCAAAGAATTCAAGATCTCATAAAGCCAAAAATTAATCCAGGTCTTTCCAACTCTAAAGCCCACACTTCTAACTACCAAACTGTACTGCCTCTCCAAGGTATAGACAATCAGACCCTAAAAGGAGCCCACATGGTGCAGGTAGCTCTTCTTGCTGGACAAGGGAGACAACAATTTCCTTAGGCAGTGACAAACATATTCAACCAGGAAGCACAGTGAATTCACCTGGGGAGTTTTTTCAAAATACAGATTCCTACTCTAGATCTTCAATTTGTATCTTCCCAAAATTACTCCAAGAGATTTTTAGACCATCAAAGTTTAAGAGCAGGGGTCCTCAAACTTTTTAAACAGGGGGCCAGTTCACTGTCCCTCAGACTGTTGGAGAGTGCGGCACACATTCCACACATGTGCACTGGGAGCCGGGGACGAGTTGGCTGCTAAGCAGGACAGGCAGCAGCGGCAAAAACACCAGATGGGCTGAATAAATGTCCTCGGCGGGCCGCATGTGGCCCCCGAGCCATAGTTTGAGGACGCCTATTTAAGAGGCTGCACCGCCTACCACACACATGCATTTGCTGTGCTCATCTCAGAAAGGTGCCCAATAATACAGCTAAATGTGTACCCATTCATACATCAGCAACCTACCCAAGTGATTCAACAGATGCTCGTAGAGCCCCTACTTTTTTGTTGGGCACAGAGTACATGCCAGACAGTTGCAGACAAAAGACCATCATGTAACACAACATGATATATTCAACAGTAGCAGTATGGATAAAGGTGCCAAAAAGTCAATAGCTACACAAGAAGCAAGGAAGTTTTTCTAAGGAAGTGATATCTCAGGTGGATTTTATAGAACAGATGTAAGTTTCCCATACTGGTGGGAAGGGGGTGAAGTGGAAGGAAGAGTATTACAAACTGAGAAAACAGAATATCCCTTTTTCTTTTCTTTCTTTCTTTCTTTCTTTTTTTTTTAGAGCCAGCGTTTTGCTATATTGCCCAAGCTGATCTTGAACTCCTGCTCACAAGCGATCCTCCCACCTCATACTCTGGAGTAGCTGGGATTATAGGCATGAGACCTCGTGCCCTGTGAAAACTGTGTATCTAAAGCACAAGGGTATGAAACCACAGAACTAACAGGAGGCTACATATGGTTCACATGATTCAACAATAAATGATGTAAACAGAGTGCAGAAGTGCCTCCGTTTTGACTGCAGGGTTAGGCCTCTACCCGATTATAAATAGCCTTGCTAAGAAGTGTGGCCTTTCTCCTGCAGGCACTAAGGAGCCAGTTTTCGGCAATGAAGGATTTACTCGGATTTTCAGGGACGAATTGTCACTTCATCCGCTTCATGTTGGGAGACTATGTGTGTGTGTGGGGTGGGGGGTAGCTTTCCCTTGTAGGTAGAGTTGACAGACTTGCCAAGCAGGCAACCAAGCGGGGCTGTGGCCTGCTCTTTCCCAGCCTGTACGAGGGAGCTATCTGCTGCCCCGCCGGCTCCCGGCGACCAGAGGCAAAGGAGGGGTGTGTGGCAGGCGCCGGACGTGAGAAGGAAGTCAGGACAACCGGGTTAGATCAACCTGACCCGCGCTGGACGCAGGACAGCTGAACAGCAGGCAGGACAGCCGACCACGTCCACCAGCCCCGCGCGGGCCCAGAGACGGGCCACCCAGCACAACAGCACGTTTCGAGCCAGTCCAGGCTCGGACACTGGGGACCCGGAGCAACTATCGCCTGGCCTGCTCGGCGGCCCCTTAGGCCCTGGCGCACGGGTCACGGGCCGAGGGCTGCGGGCTGGGCAGGGGCAGGCCCCGGTGCGCCAGACAGAAAGCGACCGCGGCCTCATGTTCGTCAGCCCTTCCCGCCCGTCGGGCCGTCGCCCTGGGCCGGGCCGCCTCACCTCGCGCGGGCGGCGGACTCTTCGGCGTCTCGGCGGCTCTGCCGACCGTCTCCGGGCCGTGGCCGCGGCCACCGCCGCCGCCGCCATCCTCGGGCATCAGCGTCGTGGCGTCATCACAGCGCGCGCCTGACGCCAAAACAAACCCGGGCCGCCTACGGGGCGGGGCGGGGGCGGTCTCTCTGGGGGTCGGGCTACGCGCTCGGCGGCGCTCCGAGCGTGGCCTGCCAATCAACGTGCTCGGGGCGGGGACAGCTTTCTCCTTGAGGGTGGGTTGATTTGTCCCGCAAAGTAGCTCGGATAGCAGGCCGGGGGTGGGGGCATCTATGCTAGAAAACAGAGGGCCCGCGGGAAGTAGGGAGAAAGTTTCAAGTTTCTGGTTGAGGGAGAGGGGACTCCGTAGTGGGAGGTTGGGAAGCAGTGCGTTCCGACAGAGACTTCTGGAAGTGCCTCTGGAACTCCAAAAAGGACTGACTTAAATTTCATTAAAATCTATTAAATTTCATTAAAACTGCAAGTAAAATAATTTCAGGCACTCGGATGTGTTCAATTTGTCCTCCATCACAGCATAGTTGCAAATGGGTTAACTTGTGGACTGGCGAAGTCAGTCTCGGGCCAATTGCTAAAGTAACAACTTTTTGTTTTAATTTTTTGTTGTTTTTGAACTCAAGTGTATCCCGAGATTGCAAAGCAAATAGATTTTTAAAAAATTGTCACCATTCACAATGACTTCTTTATAGGATGAGAATTGTGTCACCACTTTACAATCAACCCAAATTGCAGGGGAAAAAAAATGTTGCTGGTGATAAGAGTGTTGTAACCACCATCCATCTTCCCCATTGCAATCATTCATGTATTCAACACATCCTTATTGAGCACGAACTTCACACATGGTATTGTTTTTGATTGACTGTATAAGCTAATGTTATACTTTAAACCTAAAAATAAGTTAACACCAATAAAACATCATTTTGTCTGTTTTATGTAGTAGGGTTTCATATGACATTTCATTTAAAAACGAAAAACTTTAAAAAGTGTTTCCAAAAGTGTGGTGCAATGATTAAGGGTATATATAGACTTTGGGGCCAAAAAAATCTGGGACCAAACCCCAGCTAATACTTCCACAGCTGTGTGACTTTCTTTACCACTAAAGAGGAAACTGTATGACCTCAGCTAAGACATCTTCCCTCCATAAGCCTCATTTTTCTAACCTATATAATAGGAATCATAGTCCTGACATCCTGGAATTGTTGTGAGGGTTAAAAGTAATATAGAATTCCAGAGTCGATGGCACTCAGAAATCCAGACAACACTCCCATTTTACAGATTTGGTAAATTAACTAACAGATATTTATTGAACCCTTAGTATGTGCCAGTGCTGGTCTGGGCTCTGGGGAAGAGCATGAGGCCCTGAGGTGAAGAGGCATGTTAATACAGAGGGGACAAGACCCAGTACATCCATTCCCCAAGCTCTGCCCTGAACAATAAGATACTCCTTGTCCACAGAGCTGCAAATGTGAAAAACATCACCACCATGATGCTCTGGCCTGGGCAGCTGTGCATCTGGGATAAAACGTACAAAGCCCTTAAGCCCCTGGCCAGAGAGCAGATTCTATCCCCCCTCCCTCTCTGCCCCCATCCCACTCCATGGAAGAGCAGAGACTTAGGGAGCAAAAACCAGGGGGAAAGTAGGTCACAGCAGGAGAATGATAATCTGCCTGATGGCTGGCCAGAGCAGCCAGGCTCCTGCTCCTGCTCCTGCTCCACTCATAAAGATGGGCTCTGGAAAACTTTTGATGTCTGGAGCCCCAGCACCAGTCCTCCTAGCAGTATGCCCAGGCTGAAAGGGCTACTCCAAGATGACACATCCTCCACACTGGGGTCATTTCTCAGTCCAAGCTCTTGTTGACTGTAACACTTCCTATGCTGGACTTAGAGATTCTTTCATCCCACACATTCCCACATGTGCACCCTTTATACCCAGCCCTAGGTTGGGTGCTAGAGACACAAAGTGGACTCCCTACCCTTGGGGAGTCCACAGGGGAGGGATTGTGACCTGGACCCAGACAACGACAAGCCAGTGCTCTCAGTACTGAGACAGAAGAGAACACTGGAGCTGTGTAGACCTAGAGGAGGCTTCTGATTCAGCTTGTAGCTGGGGTTAGGGAATACTTTTTGGAGGAGGTGATACTGAGCAAGAAGTAAGAATTCACAAGGAGGAAATGGGGAAGGGTATTCTGAGCAAAGAGACTAGAAGTACAAAGACCCAGAAAAACACAAGGTTCCCAGGATCCTCATCAGGCCTGGAGGAGAGGGATGGGCTGACAGCCAAACTAACTGTGCCCTGGGCACGGCTCCCCAGGCTAGAGCATCATGGTGATGATGTTTCTCACTTCTTTCCTTCTGGTAAATTCTGGTGGTCAAAGTGGGGGTAGATCAGCCAGGCACAATGATGCAGATCTATAATCCTGGCTACTTGAAAGGCTGAGGCAAGCCAGGCACAGTGGCTCACACCTGTAATCCTAGAACTCTGGGAGGCCAAGGCAGGCAGATCATTTGAGCTCAGGAGATTGAGACCAGTTTGAGCAAGAGCGAGACCCCATATCTACTTAAAATATAGAAAGAAATTAGCTGGACAACTAAAAATATGTACAAAAAATTAGCCAGGCATGGTGGCACATGCCTGTAGTCCTGCTGCTTGGGAGGCTGAGGCAGTAGGATTGCTCGAGCCCAGGAGTTTGAGGTTGCTGTGAGCTAGGCTGACGCCACAGCACTCTATCCCGGGCAACAGAGACTCTGTCTCAAAAAAAAATGCTGAGGCAGGAGGATCACTTAAGCCTGGGAGTTCAAGACCAGCCTGAGCAACATAATGAGACCCCCATCTCAAAAAAAAAAAAAAGAAATAGGGCAGATCCAGGAGGGTTTTCCCCAGAACTTTCTTCAGGTGATGTGAGAAGACGGGTAATGACTGATTGGGGGACAGAAGTGGGGATAAATAAAAATCTAGGTGCAGGAAGCACAGGAATAAAGGAAGGGAGAGCAAAGGGCAGAGAGAGAGTTAATTAGGAAGCATGGATGAGGTAAGGTTTCTACACATGTGGGTGGAAACAGCTGTCTCCCTAGAGCCTAAACAAGGGTCTCATCAAGCCTAACTATGTCCCAGGGGGCAGCAGCCTCCCAGCATGAGCTTCAGCATAAGCTTGGTCTGCCGAGATCTGGCCTCCCACCACTCCCTCCCTCCTGGCTGTGACTGCTTTGGGGACCCCTCTTGTAAAGCCCAACACTGTTAAGTCTCACATCCTACCTCTTATCACCCCTATGTGGGTGCCACTTCTCTGAAGCCTCCCCTGACCCCAAGGACTGGGTAGGTGGATAGCTCCTTTGTGCTGCTACAGAAGGAGTTGCAGAAGTGGTCAGAGCTGGCTTATGTAGGGCCTTGTAGACAAGGAGAAAGAACATACGGATCAAGATTTCAATTTCAAAAGTAGAGAATAAAGTGCAGGGAGTAATAGAAACCAGTGAGGAGACCATGGCTGTGCCCTACAGAACTCATGGAGTGATGGCTTGGAACAGGGTCCTGGTGCTGATGATAAAGGACTGGTCAAAAGAGGATCCCACCCTCTCTGAAGCCCCTTCCTTCCTCAGATTCTGCCCATGTGCTGAGTCTTGCCCGTCCTTTCCAGCAGGATGAACACACCACACACTCTCACTCCACTGCTTCCAGAAAGTCTTCTGGGATTGTTTTGACTTCACGCTGCATACCTCTTCTCAAAGAACAAGCTTGTGGAGAGCAGAGGCCAGAGGATCCCTTATTGTGACCCCAGTTTCTGTAGCTTCAGGTCGTGTCAGGAGCTTGAATGTGGATTCCAACAGGGGCTCCCCACCTTCTGGAACAGGCCCCCCTCAGATGGACCAGGGACCCAGAGGAGGGTACTGCGGATATAGTCTGAGCTGTGTGTTGAAGGTGGAGAGGACAGTTCAGCAGAGGGAGGAGGAGGGGAGATGGTGAAGAGCCTGGAGGCTGGAATGAGCCTGGGGAGGGGCGCGAGATGCAGGGCAGTCCACCCAGGGGCCAGGGGCAGGAGAAGCAGGCAGTGCAAGGATGGAGGGGCTGAGAACTCCTGTCTTTCCCATCCAGCCAGGTCCCCGGAGGGAGTCAGCCCAGGAAGGCAGAGAAAGGCTATGCGTTCCTGCAGTTCTCGGGTCTCCATCGTAGCTCTTGGGACCTGTGCGCAATGGAAACTCTGTGCCGCCGGCGGAAATGAGTGTAAAGAGGGAAATTGAGTCCCCTGTGGCAGCCCTCTTCCACACCCATCCCAGGGGGAGGATCAGCTTCTGGGGGCCCCGCCCCAGCCAAGCGGGGCCACAGCCCCGGAGAAAGGAAGGAGCTTAGTACAAATATAAATACCTTTAATGAAAAGTCATGCCGCTCTGCAGAGCCCGGACAACGCGGCCGCCGGAGCAGGGGTGGAGGCACGGGCGCTGCCTGCAGACCCGACTGGCTAGGCCAGAGGCCCCAGGAGGCAGGCCAGCGCCAGAGCGGCTGCCAGCAGCGGGGGTGCGGGGGCAGGGGCAGGTGCAAGCGCTGTCCCCCGCAGCGTCTCCTGGTTGGTCTCGGGGCCCGCGCCCCGCTCCCGGACGCTTACGGGGGCACCGCACAGAGTGTGCAAGTTATCCCGGTGCGGGGCCCTGCGAGCCTCTTGCTGTAGTGACTCCCACACAGCAGCCGCCTCCTCTGGGCAGCCCGACAGGACCCGCGAGGCACAGGCATGGAAGTCATTCCAAGACCTATTAAGGGAGTGGGATTAGGGGGATTAGCTGGGGCAAGGAGATTTTGGACGGGGAAGGAAGACGTTCAGGCCCCGAGGGTGGCTCAGATTGGGATGATGCCTCCCACCCGCACCCGGCAGTACCTGCAGATGGTTTCCAGCTCGCCTCCGCGGCCCATGCCGTCCCCCAAGCGGATGAGACACTCAGCGAAGCCCTGGTATATGGTGTCACAGAGGTTTGGGGCCGTTGTGGCTGCTGCCAGAGTAGGTACAAGGACTAGTGGGGGGGGGGAGAGTGGTTGATAGGATGAGTCTGGCCGCCTCCAGTCCCCGCGGGCTTGTTTACCTGGGAATGCAGCTCTGGGGACATGACTCAGCGTGAAAAGGGCACCCCAGGGAACTGAGGGGCATGTCTGGGGATCACCTACCTCAACCCCCTTAAAGGCAGGACCTGGAATGGGATTTGTGTGAGGGGAAGGGATATCATGTCCCAGGGGTTGGTTCTTCCTGTGAACTTCTGGGGCCCCAGGTTGTGTGAGATGGCCCAAGTGAAGGAGTCAGGACAACAGGGAGCAGGTCCAGTCTCTGCAGCCTAGACGAGCTTCACCTGGCCCTCCCACTTCATCCCCAGGGATATACGGGTATTTTTTGGATGAGACAGGGCAGGATAAAGAGGAGTTGGGATCCCTCACAGAGGACCTCAGGGATCCTATGGCTGGATCTAGGACTCCAGCCATTGGCCATGGCTCTTTATCAGAAGAGGGGCTACAGGATTTTGGAGTCCTTCCCTGCATAACTGGGGCTCTGTTTGTGCCTCTCATTTTCCTTCCCGAAGACACCAGCACACCTTCGTGGAACCCTTGCAACTCTTCCAGGAAGGCTGTGTCCCCGGTTCCCGCAAACACCCCGTACTCAGCCTGGCGGGGCCAGGGGGAGGGAGTGTGACCCAGACCAGGTCCAGGACACCCACACTCACCAAGTGGCAGCAACAGCAGCAGCTTTAGGGTACCAGGCGGCCGCAGGCAGCAGCAACAGCAGCGGTAGTATCGGTGCATCTTCCCTGGCTGGGAGCCTAGTGCGGGAGCTAGCTGCTTGGAGTGCAGCCCGTAGGCCCAGCCCCCGGAGGGAGGGACGGTGATTGGATGGGAGCCAGGGGCGGGGCCAGCCAGTGGTCCCACCTCCAGCACCCAGACTGGCAGAAAAGTGAGAAGGGCCGCTAGAGATCAGAGGCGCCCAGCAGTCCAGGTTGGTGCTGAGAAGGCCCCCAGACGCCCGCCCCAGAGACGGAGAAGCAAGATGTGGGAAGGCACTTAAGTACATGAGTGCACAGACCCCTGGGTTTGGGTTAGCCTAGACAAAGCTCCACAGGAAGAAGAGAGGCATCAGGTAACAAAGGACAGTTATGAGAGTCACACCACAGACAAATCCAAAGCACACACATACTCCATTTTATTCCAAAAGCATTTAATTGAATTTCTCAATGTTTTTCAAAAACAAAAAGATCCAAATCGGAGATAAAAAGGAACATGGAAAAATTCAACTCAAGTGGTGTCATGATCTCCAGGTCATGCTGTAGGCATGGTAGAACCCAAGAAGGCACAATACCTGCCCTGGGCCCAACCTGAACCTCCTGGCTACCACAACCTGTAGACCACGGCCAGTGCTCCCTGCTTCCCCGCCCTCAAATACCCCAGAGATGGGGGCCTGAGCAGGTGAAGGGCAGACATGACTCTGCCTTGACCTAGGCCTGTCTGCTGGCCTTCAGTGCCACTCCACCCCCGAGGCAAGGCAGGCTTAGCAGCTAAGGGAGGCTGGGGGTCACAAGGCCGTGCAGCATGAGGCTGAGACGCCGGGCTGCTTTGCCAAGTGAGTTGTGTGGCTCGGCCTGCAGGAACTGAAAGAGCTTCTGGCGCACCTGGGCCATGACGGAGCCCATGTGGTCCCGAGTGATGGGATCACTGTGGTCCAGGTGCATCACAGCCTCTTCCAAGTAGCTACAGATGGAGGAAAAAGACAGGCTATAGGTGGGCGCACCAGCAGATAGGAGCGCCCCCTGGTGGCACTGAGACCCAGAGGGATTGTTGACAAGGGGGGCCGCTAAGCCTCAGCCAGGTGAGGGCAGAGGGGATTGGTGGAAAAATTAGGCAGGAGTCAGGCAGGAGTGTGAGTCCCGTTGAAACTGCTCCCTCCCCACCACCTCCTACCCCACAGCTCATCTCCTGGTCCCTGACTGCCCCCTCTCACCTGAGCTTGAGGTCAGTTCGAGTGCCAAGGTCGGATGCCAGCTGCTGGATGAGGGAAAGGAGCACAGGCTGGGAGAGTGGGCAGGGTGGCTGCCCAAAAACCTGGGCTGGGTCCACAGTTTCACACACATACAGCACCAGGTTCAGATCAGCGGCTGTCAGTGCCTGGGGGAGAACAGGGCAACAGGGTTCACAGCTGACAGCAGTGTGGAACATCTGCTTGTCTGTGCTGTGCTGCCTGGGGGAGGATGACCACAGAGTGGGGCAGTGAGGGCTCCAGAGGGGTCCAGAGAGAGCACTGTAGGGCTGTATTGTCACCCTAGGGGATTGAGAAAGGTTTCCTGAGAAGGATAGTTGTAGAGCAAGGTGGGAAGAAAGAGGTCCAGGAAGAGGGAGCAGCAGGGGCAATGGCCTGGAGGCCCAGAGCCAGGTATGTGGAGTGGAATGTAGGGTGTGTAGGCCTTGTCAGGAAGCGCCTGACTCTTACTAAGGCCAAGTGCCTGTCGTACCTGCTGGAAGGCCTGATTGAGGTGGCCCTGCTGCAGCAGCTGCAGGATATGGGCTTGCTGGGCCTGGCAGTCAAGGTGGGCAGAGGGAACAGGTGTGCCAGCGGCTGAGCGCATGGCCTGCATGATGCTGGAGGTGACAGCGGCCTGCTGTTCCTTGAGTGCCACACTCACTTCTCCCTTGACAATGCGCTGCACCTGTGCTAAAATGGACTCCTGCAGGCTGCAAAGAAAAGTGTTAGATGAAGTGGACAGGGAGCCCCATCTGGCCCTTCCTAAACCCGCCACCCTGCCCAGTACCCTGCCTACATACCTGCCCACAGCGACATGCAGCTGGTGCTGTACCTCAGCCCGGACACTGCTAGACACAGTGGCTGCCATCTGCTCAGTGGCACTCTGCAGTGTGCTGACCAGGCCCCGCAGCTGGGCCAGCACGGGCTCCCTTGCCTCCTGTTCCCGTGCCTTCCGGCTCTTCATGTGACTTTCTAACTGCTGCAAGTCTGAGAAATGACCGCGGGGACCATAAGAGGGATGGTAGGAGAGAAGAGGACAGCCCCTTCCACTTTGGGTTACATGACCCCACTCACATTCCTGTGTGCCCAGCCGGAAGCTATCATTGATCTGCTGGAACATAGCCTGGCAGCTCTTCTCGAAGGCCGGCAGCACCACGCTCTGGAAGGCCTCACGGTAGGCAGCCTGCATGGGCCCCTGTAAAGTGTCTGCAGCTGCTCGGGCGATGGTATCAGTCAAGTTCTGGGGTAGAGGGAGGGGCTGAGTTGAAAGCCTGAGCCCAGCCTGGCCTGACTAGGACCATCAACCAACCACCCTGCTCCCCGATCTTGAGCCCTATAGCACCTTAGACTTGAGCAGCTTGGAGATGTTCTCTTTCATGCTGCCCTCCACAGCTGTGAGCTTGGTGGCCACTGAGTTGCTCAGTTGGCCCGCCACAGGCTCCAGACTCCTGGAGACACCTAGGGCAGGGGAGGAAGGGAAAATGGAGCCAGGAGAGGAAGCTTGACAGGTACCTCCACTCCCACCTGGCCCACTCAAAGGCAATCTCCATGCAAAACTCACATGGGGGCACTGTCTTCTTGATCTCGTCCCTTATGCTGCGCTCTAGCCGCCCAGCCACAGCTGAAGACAGTGCCTGGGACAGCTGCTGTGTCAGCTGCTCCTGCAGCTGCCCACCCCGCTGCTGCCCCTCGGCCAGTGCCCGCTCCAGCCGCCGCTCTACACTGTAGCTAAGGAACAGGCCTAGAGCAAGTCCCCTACCCATTCCCAGGCCAGGAACACTGCCCCTGCCCCTATGCCATGCTGTGCTACCACCCTCAAGGATACGTTCCTGCTCATGCCGAGTCTCGAGGGCACGTTCTACATGGCCCATGACAGTGCTCTGCAGGCCTTCGAGTTGGGTACACAGACGCTGCAGCAGCTCTTCTTGGCTGTGCCGCAGCTCTGCCAGCTCTCTCTGCTGTTGCCAAATTAGTGCGGGCCAGTCCTCAGGTGGCTCTGCCACCTGCCAATAGCACTGTCAGTTGCATGATGTCTGCCCCACCCATCCCGCACACCAGACTAGGGAATGGCCCAGAGCCCTTCCCCACCCTCACAGGGTAGGATCCCGTGAGTAGAAAGGGGGCGTGCTCACTTACCTGGTGCTCTGTAAGCCGGGATCCCATGGCCGAATCCCTGCCATAGGCGAGAACCACCTCAGGCTACGTTAGGCAGCTTGGAGAACACCCCTCTCCCTGGCCCCAGGACCTCTCCCTACCCGTCATCCTTCTTGCTTTTCCTCTTGAGCTTGGGTGAGGACCGAGGGGATCCCTTGGTCTTCCAGTCCTTGGCAGGCAGCCGTGGAGTGGGAACTTTGGTGCCAAAGCCTCCTGAAGCAGAGGCAAGGCTGGCCACTTCATCGTCATGGTCACTGTGGGAAGGGGAGGAAGAGGGATAAGTACTTGCCCACTTGTTGGCCCTCCTCTGGGAGAGGAATGATGTAGGCTGGCACCCACCTTTGCTCGGCACTGGCATCTTGGCTGTCATGTTGCGGCAGCAGGTGATAAGGTGGTCGGTGGAAGGCCAGGCTCTTGTGCTTTTCCTGAAGGCCATTCCTGGGACTGGGGGGTACTGACCAACTTAGCAGTGTATCTGAAGCCCCTCCCACCAGCACACTCCCCTCTCCCAAGTTCCTCACCTTTCTGCCAGGGTGCTACAGGTCTCACGGGTGATGTCAGGTGCTGTAGGCCAAACCTGACTGTCAGGGGTTGTGGCTTCCTGGGTCAAGGCTGCCTCCAGGAGGGAAGGGGTACTATGCCGATCTCCGTCCCCAGGGCCTCCATCCAGGCCAAGCTGGGGACCAAGCTCAGGCCCTGGTCGGGGCCGGGGGGACAGCAGGTGTAGTGCTGAGGCAGCCGAGGCCATACTGTCTGGCTCAAGACCCTCTGGTGCAGAGGAGCCAAAGCCCCGGGACAGGGCCTCAGATGCAATCTCAGGGATGTCCTGAGACAGGGCAGTGGAAGCTGAGGAGATAACATCCGGGGAGCGGGTACGGCTGGGGGAGGCCTGGGGTAGCCCCAGGGGCTCCACTTCTTGTAGCTCCAGGGACAGTGCAGCGGCAGCAGTAGACACCTGAGATGGGCCAAAGATGGGGCTTAAGTGATGGGAGATGAGGTGGGGGGGCACAGGGACAAGGCACTGGTCTTAAGAGTGATGAGAGACAAGACAGTGGGGAAGGGCGATGTAGGTCAAAAACAGGGGAGGAGGAGGGGATGTGGGGACAGGAGGCTGAGGAGACTCCCTCCAGGGAACATAGAGGGTTAAGATGACCTCAGGGGAAACATGGACCATTGTAAGGCGGAGCACGGCCAGCAGCAGGGGTACATGGGAGAGACTGCTGCCCACCTTCCCTGCTGCCACCCACCTGCTACCTGGCATTTCACACAACCATGCACACACCTGTCCCGGCCCCTTGGGAGTCAGTTTGTCGGCTGGGCCTGGGAGCAGGCCAGGCAGGAGGCTGCGCGGGCTTGCCTGGAGGCCACTGCTGCTGCTCATTGTCAGACTGCCATCCAGCTGCAGCTTGGGGCTCAAGGCCAGCTCCTCAGGTGGTCTGGTGGCGGGAAGGCTGAGTTGTCAACAACCAGAACTAGAACTTGGTATTACCTGGCACCAGCCCCTGCCATCCTCCAACTCTGACCCTCACCTCACCTGGGCAAGGAGGGGTCCACGGCTGAGGTGCTGCTCATGGCAGACACCGCTGTAAGAGAGCTGCTGCTGCTGCTGCTACTGCTGCTGCTGCTGCTACTGCTGGGGGACGCAGTGATCTGGGGAGATGCAGAGAATGAGGGCTGTGGCCTGTGGGTGAGGCATTCTCAGGTCCCCGCACCCTGAGGGGCTACCTGCTGCAGGGAGGCGCTGGGTGTCATGAAGGCATCAGGCGTCATCAGCTTGGGCTTGGTCTCACTGCTCAGACTGAGAAAGTCAGCGGGTGCAGGCAGCTCCACAATTCGTCGGAGGTCAGGCTGGGAGCCATGAGCTGCTGACCCCATGCCCTCGGAGCCCAGTTCAGGCCGAGACTCTCCAAATGCTGC